CGCCCGGCTCATTTTGATTTTATTGTAGAGATGAGGTCTTGCCAAGTTGCCCAGGCGGGTCTCGAACCCGCGGGTTCAGGCAGTCCACTCACCTCAGCCTCCCAAAGCGCTGGGATTACAGGCTGAGCCACCGAGCCCGGCTGAGTTTGTAGTTTCATGTTTTCTTTTCTTTTCTTTTTTTTTATTTGAGTTGGAGTCTCACTCTATCGCCTAGGCTGGAGTGCAGTGGCGGCACGCCTGGATCTGCTAGACTCAGGTGATCCTTCCACCTCAGCCTTCCGTGTAGCTGGAACTACAGGCATATGCCATGACGCCCAGCTAATTTGTTTGATTTTATTGTAGAGACGAGGTCTCTCCAAATTGCCCAGGCTGGTCTCACATCCCTGCACTCAGGTAATCTTCTCGCCTTGGTCTCCCAAAGTGCTGGGATTACAGACTAGAGCCACTGTACCGAGCCCCCCCCCCCCGTGTTTTCATCTGTTATATCTTCAGATCTAGCCATCTGGATCAGTTCTCATGGCCCTAGAGAACAGGAAGGGGAATATGGGTGAATCAATGTAAATGTGTCACTGCCACTAGGAAAAGAAGTCCTCCCAATAATAGTTCAGAATATCCACATTTTCTTTTTTCTTTTTTTTAAAGCAGGATTTATTGAGAGGACAGAAAAACTCCCACAGTGGGAGGGGACCCAGGGGGGTTGCCTCCACATTTTCTTAATTTTAATTAATACTGCTTGACTACCTTCTTTATATAGTTTGTGTCGACCAGAGCTGTTTTATCATGTTTTTTAGTATTGTGTAGTATGTCCTTTTTAAAACAAAAACACAAGTGGATCTTTGTTTTGTTAAAAGTCACCTATGGAAGTGCAACTCTAATAAAGTTAGATTAGAGGGCAAGAAACAACACTACAGAAAAATGTGTGTTTAGAGAAAAGGCTTTTTGTGGGGCAGAGTTTAATTCTGCAGTGTCATACTTAATGGCTCCAGTTTGTACCTGTGTATGAGAATTTGAATGTCCTTAGTTGGGATTCCATCTGCAAGTCAATTAGACTTAGACTGAAGAGGGAGGATAAATTAAATTGGGGCTACAAGCTCTGTAGTGAGATATGGTATATCTTCATAAAATATCCTAAAATACTATATCTGTGTAACTAACTTTTACTATTTTCAATGTAATGTTTACTAACTTTAGGGTTTGGTGATTTTAATTCCTAGAAAGCAAAAATTGTGTCCATGTAAACATTTTTTTTTTCTTTTTCTTTTGAGTCAAAGTCACACTGCTGGAGTGCAGTGGCATGTTGCTCATGGACACCACAGCCTTGACCTGCTGGGCTCAGGTGATCCTTCCACAACAGCCTTCCAAGTAGCTGGAACTATAGGCATGTGCCACCATGCCCAGCTAATTTTTTGATTTGTTGTAGAGATGAGGTCTCACCATGTTGCCCAGGCTGGTCTCAAACCCACAGGCTCCGGCAGTCCTCTTGCCTTCGCCTCCCAAAGTGTTGGGATTACAGGTGTGAGCTACCATGCCCGGCTAGTAAAATTTAACATATACAGCTTTTTAGAGGTTATATATGTTGATAATTTCATTAGTTCTTTGACTTAAGAAAGAAAAGATTTGTGTTTTAGGAAGTGGAACTACTTTCCTTTTCTTTTATACTGTATTTTTGGCTCTCATTTTCTTATTCTGAATTTATAACACCTATAACATGCAGCATAGTATTGGAGGCATAAAATTTTTAAAATAAGTCATTCTAAATAAATTATTGAGCTGTAATTGAATTGGATTTTTCTTCTAAGTTTCCTCAAATCTTATGTTAAGAAAACAGCACATATCACAGATTTCCAGCCTCATGTACTTTTTCCTCTGCTACCAATCATGTTTCCTTTATCACCATAAAAGAAAAATCTACCTTAGGGATTTTAAGAACTTTCTTAAATTTAGAATAATTGTGAAAGATATTCCATCATTTTTCATACCACATCTTACACTTCTCTTAAGTTTATTGGAAATTATTTTTATTTTGTAGACCTCTGAACAAGAAACTAAGGGTCTTCCAAGCAAAAAAGGAATTGTACAGTCTATTGTTGGTCAAGGCTATCATCGTAAAATAGTTCTGGCATCACAGTCTATACAGAATACTGTTTATAAGTAAGTATTTTGCAAAGACAAAGTGTGTATATTTAATACTGTTTCATGTAACATTATTTATGTATAAAAGTACACTTAGAGTTTATCATTGCATAGGCGGAACTACTTTGTAACTAGGTTTTATTGGTGTTTCAACAGACCCTCATATATAACCTCTTAGTGAATATTATTTGACATGTTGTGATTTTTTTTTTAGTTGGAGTCTCACTCTGTCGCCCAGACTGGAGTGCAGTGGCCGCTCCCGGCCACCGCAGCCTCGACCTGCTGGGCTCTGGCGATCCTTCCACCTCAGCCTTCCGAGTAGCCGGAATTACAGGCATGTGCTACCACACCCGGCTGATTTTTGATTTATTGTAAAGATGAGGTCTCGCTGCCCAAGCGGGTCTCGAACCTGCGGGCTCAGGCAATCCACTCACCTCAGCCTCCCAAAGGCGTGGGATTACAGGCTGAGCCACCGAGCCCGGCTTATGTTGTGATTTTGATTTATTACATCCACGGGTGCTGAAATTGTTGGCCTAGAAAATCCTACTCAGTGCCATTATTCAGAATGTCCAGAAGAGGGCATCTTAATGTCTCCTTTTTATATAGTTTTGGTTATGATGCTTTTCATTTAGATATTTTCTCATAGTTCCTAGACATGAAAATATTTGAAAGCTCATTCTTAGTTTTAGGATATATACTAATAAAAATATGCTAATACATATAGCAACCAAAGCAAAGTAATATAGGAGCTGTCTCATATACAACCTTCATTTAAATAACATTTAAGTAAGAATATCTTTTCTTCTATAGAGATCTCAATTTGGAGTTGCTATTATTTCTCAGATAGTGGACTTTGCCAAGAATTCATTCCTTTTTTATTTTGGTCAAAGATTGGTCTGTACTGTTTAAAAGTTTTTCCAGCCGGGCTTGATGGCTCAGCCTGTAATCTCGCACCTTTGGGAGGCTGAGGTGAGTGGATTGCCTGAGCCCGCGGGTTCGAGACCCACCTGAGCAACTTGGCAAGACTTCATCTCTACAATAAATCAAAAATTAACTGGGCATGGTAGCGCGCTTATAGTTCCAGCTACTTGGAAGGCTACGACAGAAAGATCGCCGGAGCCCAGCAGGTTGAGGCTGCGGTGACCGGGAGCGGCCACTGCACTCCAGTCTGGGTGACAGAGTAAGACTCCAACTCAAAAAATAAATAAATAAAAAATAAAAGTTTTTCCAAGGCTGGACACAGTGGCTCATGCCTGTAATTCCAGCACTTTAGGAGGCCAAGGTGAGAGGATTGCTTGAGCCTGGAGGTTCAAGACCAGCCTGGGCAACTTGGCAAGACCTCATCTCTACAATAAATCAAAAAATTAGTGGGGTGTGGTGGCACATGCCTCTAGTTCTAGCTGCTTGGAAGACTGAGGCAGAAAGATTGCCTGAGCCCAGCAGATGGAGGCTGCAGTGGCCATGAGCGTGCTTCTGCACTCCAGCCTGGGTAACAGAGTGAGATTCTGACTCAAAAACAAAAAAAGGAAATTAGAAGATAAAGGGTAATGCTGCTCTTTGAAAACATATAAAGGCATTTTTGAAAGCAAGGATTTGCCAGGCTCGATGACTCAGCCTATAGTCCCAGCACTTTGGGAGGCCGAGGTGAGACGATTGCCTGAGCCCACGGGTTCAAGACCTACCTGGGCAACTTGACAAGACCTCGACTCTACAATAAATCAAAAATTAGCCGGGCGTAGTAGCGCACACCTGTAGTTCTAGCTACTTGGAAGGCTGAGGTGGAAGGATTGCCAGAGCC